GGAGGGTGTGTGTGTCGCGACTGGGGGCGGCCCATTGAGACGGGCGAAGAGGGGCTGCGGCGTTGGCGACAGGGTTGCAGAATGCGCATCCATGTCTTGTTGGAGCTCAGCGCCGGCATGCTTCGCGGTCTGCGCGGGCGGTGGGGCCCGCGGCAGAGACGGGGTGCGCTCGCCCGGCTGGTGCTGCCGATGGGCGCCGGCGGCCTCGGGCGCGCGCCGGTCTGCCGCTTGGGCTGCTTTCTGGCTTCTTGCCTTGGGGTGGCGGAGGCGGCGGGGCGACGGAGTGTCGGTGTCGCGCCGCCGCGGAAGCACCCGGGGCCCCATCGGGGTGTTGTTGTCGATTGGCGTCGTCTTTTTTCAGACGAAGAACGAAAGGGTAACGCGCCGATGGGGCCCGGGGGGGGCCCCCGCAGCGGGGCGACGCGTTCCCCTTGTTCTTTCCTTCCCGAGGTGGGGGCCGCGACGGCGGGGGGGGGCGCGCCCGCGAGGTGGCTCGGGGGTTGCCGGTCCAGGGCGCGCGTCGAGCGCCGCCGCCGCCCATTGTCCTGCAGTCGCGCGGGGGCGTCGAGCGGATCTCGACGAGGGCGCGGTTGACGTGCGCTGGGGCGAGCAAGTTTGACGCGCGCTCCCTGGACTTCGGGGGCGCCGAGCAGGGCCCGAATCGTCGGGGGGGGGGCGCGCGGCGCGGAGACCGTTCGGCCTGCCTCGCGGCCAGGCCGGGGGGCGCGGAGCGCGATGCCCGGCGGAATTTCTCCAAGCAGGTGGCCTCCTGCTTGGCGTCGCTCAGGCGTGTGGTTCCATTTTCTTCGGCGACGATCTCCGAGGGGCATCCGAGTGCACGCGGGAAGTCGAGGAGGTCGCGGGGGGGGGGGGCGTCCGAGCGGTGTCGCGCCTGGCGGGCGTTCGAAACTCTGCCCTGCGGGGCGGTGGCCCGCCCGGGGCTCGCGGCGTGGCCCTGGCCAGCCAGGGTCGGCGCTGGCCCGGGTCAGCGCGCCGACGGGAAGGGCCGACGTCGTGATCATTGACGCGAGGCATTCCAGGAGGGACCTCGCCACAGGGATCGGGGAGTTGACTTCTCGTCTTCGGCGGAAGGGGTTAGGGGCTTGCGGAAGCCGGCGGAGGCGGCGCGGGCGTGGCTGCTCCCGCGGGAAGCTGGCGGAATATTTTCATCCATGTCTACCGCGCCGCGGCCTGTTGTGCCGCCCCCTTCTTAGGGGGGCCGAGGCGCAGTGGCTATGGGCATGAATCGCGCCCGCAGTCAGGGTTGCATTTTTTTCCGGAGGGAGACGGTGGGGGGCCCGCGGAAGGCGGCGGAGGCAGCGCGCGTGGCTGCTCCCGCGGAAGCCGGCGGGGGAGAAAATTTGCCCGGCGAAGGGCCCAACCGTGCGCCGTGGTGAATGCCGCAGTTGTGAATGCCATCTTCGCCCGCGCCCCCCATGTGGCCGCGGCTCCCCGCCAGGGGCGCGTTCGTGGCCGTCTTCGCGGGCGCCGACGACGACGGGGGCGGCGCCTCCCTGGTCGAGGAGCAGAAGCAGGATAATGCTCTGAGAGCCATGAGGGAGGCTGCCACTGGCGCCTTCGGTGGAGCTCCTATGGGGCCACGATCCTCGTGAGGGGTCGACATGGCCCGGGGCCGCCGCGCGAACCCTGCTGCTGAAGCCTTCGGTGGAGCTGCCTATGTGGCCACGATCCTCGTGAGCCGAAATGGCCCAGGGCCACCGTGCGAACCCTCCCGCCGGCGCCTTCGGTGGAGCTCCCATTGGGGCCACGATCCTAGTGAAGGGGTGCGCCGAAATGGCCCGAGGCCGCCGCGCGAACCCTGCCGCTGGCGCTTTCGGTGGAGCTCCCCGTGGGGCCGCGATCTTCACGGGGGGTGTGCCGAGATGGCCCGAGGCCGCCGTGCGAGCCTTGCCGCTGGCGCCTTTCGTGGAGCTCCCATGCGGCCGCGATCCTCGTGAGGGGTGTGCCGAAGTGGCACGAGGCCGCCATGCGAACCCTGTCATTGGCGCCTGTTGTGGAGATTTTATGGGGCCACGATCCCCAGGGGGGGTGAGCCCGAATGGCCCGAGGCCGCCATGCGAACCCTGGAGTTCCCTATGGAGCCGCGATCCTCGTGAGTGGTGTTCCGAGATGGCCTGGGGCCGCCGTGCAAACCCTGCCCCTGGCGCCTTCGGTGGAGCTCCCATGGGGTCGCGATCCTCGTCAGGGGTGTGCCGATATGGCCCAGGGCCGCCGTGCGAACCTTGCAACTGGCGTCTTCCGCGGAGCTCTCTGTCGGGCCGCGATCCTCGTGATGGGCGTGCCGAAATGGCCCGAGGCCGCCGCGCGAACCCCGCCGCTGGGGCCTTCCGTGGAGTGCCGAAATGGCCCGAGGCCGCCGTGCGGAGCCCCCTGTGTGGCCACGATCCTCGTGAGGGGTGCGCCGAGATGGCCCGAGGCCGCCATGCGAACCCTGCCGCTGGCGCCTTCGGTGGAGCTCCCTATGGGGCCACGATCCTCGTGCGGGGTGCGCCGAAATGGCCCGGTGCCGCCGTGCGAGCCCTGCCGCTGGGGCCTTCGGTTGAGCTCCCTTTGGGGCCACGAAGCGCTGTGCTGGGTGGGGTGAAACGCCGGGGGGGGGGGGGGGGGCGCGGGGGCAGTCTTTTCATTTGCCTGGCGAAGGACCCAACCATATGCAGTTGTGAATGCCGCGATTGTGGCCGTGGCTTCCCGCCGGGGCCTGACGTGCTCAGGGGCGCGTTCGTGGCCCTCTTTGCGGGCGCCGACGACGGGGGCGGCGTCCCTCGGACCGAGGAGCAGAAGCAGGAGAGGGCTCCGAGAGCCATGGGGGAGGAGGTGGCGTTGCACTTCGACAAGGCGGATTGCGATGTCCAGGCGCGGTTGTTGAAGCGGCGCAATTTCGGGGCCATGATCCTCGTGGGGTGTGTGCCGAAATGGCCCGAGGTCGCCAGGGCCGCCAGGCGCGCCATGCCAGTGGCGTTTTCGGTGGAGCTCCTATGGAGCCGCAATCCTCGTGGCCGGTGTCCCGAGGCCGCCGTGCGAACCTTGCTGCTGGCGCCTCCCGTGGAGCTCCTATGGGGCCGCGATCCTCGTGAGGGGTGTGTCGAAATGGCCCGGGGCCGCCATGCGAACCCTGCCGCTGGGGCCTTCGGTGGAGCTCGTCACTGGGCCACGATCGCCGTGAGGGGTGTGCCGAAATGGCCCGAGGCCGCCGTGCGAACCCTGCCATTGGCGCCTGTTGTGGAGTTTTATGGGGCCACGATCCTCGTGGCGGGTGTGCCCACATGGCCCGGGGTCGCCATGCGAACCCTGCCATTGGCGCCTTCGGTGGAGCTTCCAATGGGACCGCGATCCTCGTGGGGTGTCTGCCGAAATGGCTCGAGGCCGCCGTGCGAACCCTGCCACTGGCGCGTAAGGTTGAGCTCCCATGGGGCCGCGGTCTTCGTGAGGTGTGCGCCGAAATGGCCCGAGGCCGCCATGCGAACCCTGCCAGTGGGGCCTTCGGTGGAGCTCCCTCCGGGGCTGCGAAGCGCTGTGCTGGATGGGTGAAACGCAGGGAGGAAAGAGAGGATGGAGGAGGGGGAGGAGGAGGGAGGAAAGAGGGAGGATGGCCGCGAGGGCCGTCTCTTCAAAACGAGGACCCAACACCGCCGCGCGGTTGGGAAAAACGAGGACTCAACACCACAGGATGGTTGGGAAAACATTTCCTTCTAGGACATGCAGTTTTTCCACAAGCAGCGCTTGCAATCAAGTGTTGGCAATATTTATATTCATATATCCACAGCGCACTGGAGTTTCGGCCCCCCTTTCTCCGATACCAGAGGCGCCGCGGATATGATGGATAAAACGGTTTCGCCTTTAGAGGTCAGAGATTTTTTTTCGTATCCGTGCGCCGCGGCCTGTTGTGGCGCCCCTTCCCAGGAAGTCCAAGGCGCAGTGGATATGGACATAAACCGTGCCCGCATCCAGGGTTCGGATTTCTGTCCTGGCCGTTCTGGCCGCCATTCGGCCGTCCAGGGGCATACGGGCCGTTCTGGCCGCCATTCGGCCGCCTCGTCGCCGCCTCGTCGTCCGCCCCGTCGCCGCCTCCTCGCCTGGGCCTGCGTGCCGCCGTGTGGCCGCCACAGGGCCGCCGCGCGCCGCCTCGTCGCCGCACGCCGCGTCGTCGCCGCCCGCTTCGCAGTGCTTCTCGTTGTTTGTCGTTGCGTCGCATTGTTTCGCATTGCTTCGCGTTGCTTCGCGTTGCATCGCATGGCTTCGCCTTGCATCGCACTGCTTCGCATTGCTTCGCATTGCTTCTCCTTGCGTCCCATTGCTTCGCATTTTTTTTCATTGCTCTTCCTTGCTTCGCATTGCTCGGCACTGCTTTGCATTGCCTGGCATTGCTTTGCAGTGCTTTGCATTGCTTTGCAATTATTTGCGTTGCTTGGCATTGCTTTGCGTTGGTATTCTTTGCATGGCGTTGCGGTGCCCTGATTTGCGCTGCTATGCACACCGCCGAGACTGCACCGCATACATTGGATCGGGGTCTCGTTGGCTAACATTGGATTCGTGGTTTCCATGCCCAAAGGGGAAACACGTACTGATGCAGATGCTCTCCCTTCACTCATTTTTGCGTTTGTGGACCTCCCGCGGGGCCCCCGTTGCCACGGCTGGACTCCTCGGAATCTTTGCCAGAACGTCCCCCAGGAGAAGCGCGGGGAGCAGCGGTATCCGTATTGGTATCTTTGTAGCTCTCCCAGCAATGCATGCCCGCTGTCGTGCAGCTTGTTGGGACTCGACATGCTGTTCGCATGTGCTGGCAGGCGGGCACGCACGTGTCTGAGCGAGACGTGCAACGGGCATTCTCATGTCGCGTTTCTCCTTGCAGTTGCCGTGCGGTCGACCTTGGGCTCGTCTGGCGAGCACGTGTGATATGGGTGTGCGGATGCCACTGCGATCTTTGCTTAAATGCCAATGCCAGTCTTCGGTTCCTGCTTATGCTTTGCCAGCTTGTGCAGGTGACGGTACCGTCAAGTTTCAGGGTGATTCCGACGCTCTGATATCCAAGGGCCTGGTTGCACTACTCGTACGCGGCCTCAGCGGGTGTACTCCTGAGGAGATTGTACGCGTGAGGCCAGAATTCATCCAATCCTCTGGTATTTCTGCCTCTTTGACGCCGGGCCGGAACAACGGTTTTTTCAACATGTTCAAGCTCATGACGAAGCAGGCCATCGGCGGGCGTGAAGCATGCACCTGCACCGGTCCAACATAGATTTGTACGCCGACCCTGTCCCGCTCGTGACGCCCCCACGATCTCTCGGAAACGCGTGTGGTGCATAGAACCCCTCGCGCCACGGGGAAGACTTGCACACCGTACTCCACGCGGTTGGATCTCCCCCGCGCTCACCCAATCCCCCCCCCCACGTTGTCCGGACCCCCTCGGTGCTCCGGCAGGACCGCCCAGTTCCTGACCACCCCACGCGATCCAAACACGCAACCCTTTTGAACAGTTTCGTGGCGCCCGTCAGCAGATCCAGCAGTTTCTTGCCTCCTCGCCAGGTTGCCACAGTGCACCCTTGATTGCCTACGCGTCCGTCCGGATGCTTGGCTTTTGCTTGCTTGCTTGCATGCTTGCGTCATGGGGGGGCGGGCGCGGGGGCGGTGCGCAAGGCGTTCCCTGAGATCCGACGCTGCAAAGAGAAAGCAGCATCGTAAAAATCCCGCCCAGACCCCCGGACCCAATCTTTCTGCGTCATGTCTCGAGCCGGGTCGATCTGTGAAGGCCCCAGGGGCCCGAAGCCGCCCGCTGTGAAGCACCTGCAGCGCTGGGATCTCCAGGCTTGTGGCACCCGAAGACGCCAGGTCCCTCGACTTTCTCTCGAGTCGCCGAGGCCGGGTGCCCCCGACCCCCTCCCCGCAACGGGCCGGACCGTGCTCGACGGCCGCGGGGCTCGGAGGGTGGCCGCGGGGTGCAGCAAGTTCGAGCAGGTGGTCGGCTGCAGAAGCGATCTTTCCCCAGGGTTCGATTCTCGCTTCGAGTCCATGGCGGAGGCGTAGACTTCGTAGATCTGCGATCATGCTGCGCACTTCTGCTGCGGGTTCGACGTGCAAATCAAGTCTGGGGTAGATCAATTGCGTGGTCGATCCCCTGCTCTACGAGTGGGGAGCAACTTCTGTGCGCTTAATTTTGGGTTCGCCAGGGGTCAGGCCAGCCCAGGGCCCTCGGGACCAGGAGTGGCCCGGCCAAGACCGAGTGCAGGTGGAGGGCTGGCGCTTCCCCCAGGTCAGGGAGCTCGCCCTTCCTGCTGAGGGAGGTGCACCCGGAGGCGCTGGTGAGCCTGCCGAGCCAGAGCAGCCGGGGCCATCCTCCGAGGACTTCTCGCGCAATGACAGAAATCACGACGCAGGGTTGGTTGGTCCTTCTCGGTCTCCAGGGGCCCTTACTTGGCCGCGGGGCCGTTAACGTACTCCTCAGGATGGACGCTGGGTCCTGGGGAAGGGGTCAAGACCTCCGGGGGTCCAGACTGGAAACAAAATCACCACGTCGGTAGTAGTAGTAGTAGTAGTAGTAGTAGTAGTGGTAGTAGTAGTAGTAATTCTCGTAGTCGTAGTAGTAGTAGTAGTAGTAGTAGTAGTAGTAGTAGTAGTAGTAGTAGTAGTAGTAGTAGTAGTAGTAGTAGTAGTAGTAGTAGTAGTAGTAGTAGTAGTAGTAGTAGTAGTAGTAGTAGTAGTAGTAGTAGTAGTAGTAGTAGTAGTAGTAGTAGTAGTAGTAGTAGTGGTAGTAGTAGTAGTAGTAGTAGTAGTAGTAGTAGTAGCAGCAGTGATAGCAGTAGTGATAGTGGTAGTAGTAGTAGTAGTAGTAGTAGCAGCAGTGATGGCAGTTGTGATAGTGGTAGTAGTAGTATGGTAGTAGTAGTAGTAGTAGTAGTCGTAGTAGTAGTAGTAGTAGTAGTAGTAGTAGTAGTAGTAGTAGTAGTAGTAGACGTCGTCGTCGTCGTCGTCGTCGTCGTCGTAGTAGTAGTAGTAGTAGTAGTAGTAGTAGGTATTGTAGAGCTAGTAGTAGTAGTAGTAGTAGTAGTAGTAGTAGTAGTAGTAGTCGT